GCAGGAAATTCAGATAAAAAATACAGAAGCCACTTTTCTCCTTGTATAATGTAGATCCTATCAATAAGATTGAGGTCTTCATGCTGGGGAAACCCACAGAAAGAGCTGACCTGAGCAAGTAGGAGCTCAAGTACCTCAGTCTGACTGCTGGTGAACCAGCATAAGACCTAACCAGGCCCCCTAAACTTGGGTGTCATTTCGGAGGACTTGGCAGTCTAAGAAACATCTGGCAATGGAACAGTATTTATCCTTAGTACACCCCATTCCCTATGGATGGATACTCAATCAGCCTAGATGCAAATGGGGGCCTAGGTCCTGCACCAAGTGATGTGGGGCACTTTGAAGATACCCAATGGAAAGCCTCAACCTCCCTGGAGATTGGATGGAGGTGTAATGGGGGTTCATGGGGGCTTGGCAAGACAGGAGAGAGAGGGAACTGGGATTGGTATGTAAAATAACATTTTTAATTTAAATAATATTTAGTTTTAAAAGTCATTTTTGCATTTTTTATTTAGATAGCACTAACAAAACAAGGAATATTATACTTACAGGGCTATCATTTATTTATTGATTCATTCATTCATTCATTTTTGGTTTTTTGAGACAGGGTTTCTCTGTGACTTTGGAGGCTGTCCTGGAACTAGCTCTTGTAGCCCAGGAGGGTCTCGACCTCACAAAGATCCACCTGCCTCTGCCTCCCAAGTGCTGGGATTAAAGGTGTGTGCCACCAATGCCCAGCTTAGGGCTGTCTTTTCAAGGAAAAACTGTACTTTTCACTCAGAAGTCTGACAATTGAGATAACTTGTGTTATTTGTAGGGCCAGGCCATATCAAGCTCCCACAAGCGGGAAATAGATGGCTAATAGTCTATGTGACCTTTGCATTATCTGGGTAGGCAGGAACTCCACCAAGTTACCACAAATAAGACCTGTGGTGACAAATAGCTCAAATGACCTCTGGGCTGTCTGAATAACTGAGACCACACCAAGGCTTTCCTTGGTCTGGAGATAGTACATGGAGCCTATCTCTAGAACCCATCTTCTTGATAGAAGTGACTTGCATTTTGAGTTGAGGTTTGATATAATGATGCCTCCTTGTGCTCAGAGGATTGCTTTACACCAGGAATTTTTTCCCAAATTATACCATGTTTAAATGTTTAGAGTAACATGGCCATCATCAGACTAATAGTTTGAACCAACACTGGCTAGTTAAGCTGTGCCGTACTGGACTTCTTTTTCATCACACAAATTGTTCCTCTTTTAGCCATAGCATTTGCAGGGACCCACACCGAATATCATCATGTTTTGAGTAAGTTGCAGTCAAATGAAGAAGAATGAATACAGGCCAGTGGTCATTGTCCTCTATTGTCATTATTACCAAGATTCTTAATAGAGCTCACTGTCCAGTGTAGCCACGTCCCACATTATCCCCTGGGGAGGAAGTATCCCCCATATGTTAAACAGAGAGCCTTGTGGACAGTTTTCTTACAGAGAATAGTGAAGTCGTCCAGCACCCCCACCATGTGCAACGTGCATTATTATATTTCAGCAATATCAACAAGCATTTTCTACGACTTTGGTCTTCAGAGTGGCATGCAGAGGCCAAGTTCATGTAGCTTTGCCTGCCTTGTGCAAGATAACAGTCAAGAAGGGATCCTTCTTTATGCTCCAGACATATCCCCGACCTGAACCAGGAAGGCCCTATGGATGTTGTCCCTAAGACATCCTACATTGTTGACATTTGGAAATTCTGGGTTAGTCAATTCCTAGACCAAGATGGTCCCTAGCCTTCTATGTCCTGTCCCACATCTCTCACAGCTGTGACTTGTGAGAGTCACAAATGTGGTATGAGAAAAAGCAATGGATTTACCTATTGACTATACGATCTGAGTTAATCATGAGGAAAGCATATTGTTTAAAATGAAAATACCAGCAGTTTAGAATTCACTCAATCATACCCCCCCCCAAATAACAAACATTTTGGTGCATGTCCTGGGAGCTACTGGTGTATGGATCGCTGAGTGATAACACCTGCTGATGGGGAATGTACTGTGTGTGTTTATCTTATTGATTGTTAAATAAAATACTGTTT